TATCTAGATTTCTTTTCTATTTATTGCTATTTCCATTTTGGAAGATGGAATACGAAATATAACTAACTCGTACTTGCTATGAGTTGAAAAGAATACGATAGTTTGAGCAAGTTGAAAGGAATTTAATACTTTACCACGAAAGTTTCCGGGCACACCACTTAAGAGGTTAATCACTGTGACTTAATTTTTCTTTCAGTTTCTTTCTTCTCCATCTAGTTGTGAACACTTTGAAATTCAAAAGAACAATTCGAAACGAGGAAGCTTAATCAATCAACAATTTTGCCAAGAAGAAACCGACGTCAATCATTGTAATCAAAATATATCTCCGCGAAATTTACCCGAGTATGTGTTTGAACGTGAAACAATACATAAACACGGGAGAAAATAAAATTTTGTCTTAAAGTAAGAGAGGTAGGCAAGATAAAGATCGTCTTCATTTAAATATTCCCCGCACGAGTACGCCGCTATCGACGCGTAACATCCTGTATATAGGTCGATTACAGCCCTCATCGGCTATCGAGTTACGCGTGTGTTTGAACGTAAAAAATTTGGATCAATTAAGTTCTACGCACGCGAGAGCCTTTTATGAGCGGCGCTTTCAGAACGCAACGCGGGAATCCATACGATGTATAAATGATACGCGGCTAAAGCGCATGGAAGGATTTAGTGGGCAAAACAGTAGCACATTCAGTTAGTCGGTCGCGCTTCATTATGCATTAGTACGAGCTCGCTCAGTATGAGCCGCCTAATCGCGACCGTTCAGTTATTGAACCCGAGCAAATGCATTCTCTCTTCCCGAACGTGCTACAGACTCGCACGATTTTCGACAGTTACAATTTTGCTTGCTTGCCTCCCGCGCGTTCCATACTTGAGACTTAATAATCTTTATTCTGGCCCTCTGCTCTCTCTCCGCGGGATTATACATACACAATAAGGAATTCGAGAACCTCAAAAAATGCGAGGCATCGCACGTAATAACATAGATCCGCGGCACGTAATAACATAGAAGCATATTTTCTGTAATAACAGTGTATGCACGCATACCGATCGACCGATTCGCCGAGTTGTCGCTTATCGTAACAGGTGAAACGGACAGGTGAAACTACAAATAGCTATTACTTATTAATTACAGAATGCCGGAATAATCGCCCGATTCGACCATCATCGTACTCGGGAGAGGTTATTAATAACCAAATTCGTATGGTTTATTAGGTATTTACGACTATGATGCAGTCACAATTCGCGGTTGTATCGCAATTATCCAGCGCAAAGCTGTTATAATTTCCCGAAGTCTCCTATCGCGAAATAATCGGCGAGTAAAATTGAGAGCTATTTAATCCTTTCTGGTCACGAAATTATGTGCCTGTTTATACACTCCCCCGAGATGGTGCGAGTGCTATTTCGCGTAAAAGCAAGTGAAAATTAAATGTGAAAATAGGAAGCCACATACCAACAAAGACCGAAATCATTTTCGTGAGCAATTTGAGATCGCTAATAATCGGCTGTCGCGCGAAATAGAGCGTTAAATGACGTCACGATTGCCACCGCGTCAATTTTATATCCGCGTCAATCGTCCAATGTTGCTTTCGAGCTGGCTGCACGACGATTCGACGCATTCGCATACTTTACTCGGAATTAAAAATCTCTCCTCGCGTCTTAAGGAAGAGGATCGTTAAGGGAAATCATATTCTCCCTGTAGCGACTTGCGCCGGCTTTCTCGCCGGGGGCTCTTATGGTAATTATAGAGCCCTTCATGAACATAGCTGCCTCTTTATGAAATGTATTCTCAAGAAGTGGATCGGCCTGATCCTCTCTCGGCCCCCGTCACTTTTCCTCCTCTCAAGGAGAGGAGATACATCCTTGAAAGCGCGACCGTCTATTAATTTTCAGACGGCAGTGACACGGCCCTTAGCTGCGCGCGCTAACGCGATTACGACTTCCTGGATAATCAGAGCTGCTCGAGAGAAGGAATACGGAGATACACATCGAGTTCTCGTCCGGATACGAACTTGTCCAGGACTTCGTTTCCCTGACCGGACGAGAGAGAGAGAGAGAGAGAGAGATCTTCGTCGAGGCGCGTGGCTCTTTGAAACGAATCCTCTAGCGTTTCGTTTCTTACGCGCGCATACTCGTGCGGATTTTCGGAACAAGCCAATTTGGCTTTGTTTCATTTTTCATTTAGTCCACTCCTCCCCCCCTTTCTCGTCTTATCCCACCGCCGCAAACTCATTTTTCACTTAAGCCGTCGTCCGATCTATATCCGATCCGAAGCGAGGTGAGGCGATTTTCGCGAGCAAACGGGTTCTCGCTTTTTTCATAGATCACGTACGTTAGCCTGTCGAACGCCCCCTAAATAATAGCGGAGTTAATTCCGTTCTCGTGAGAGAAAAGCCGAAGGAGGAGACGGGCGATATCTGTGTGCACGTGGGTGTAAACTCTGCACACGTGTACGAACGCAATCCCACAAAATTACATAATTTTTAACTGTATTGTTTTTTGTGTTTCTGCGCGCCGGATGGTTCTTATGTTTTGCAAGCATATATATAGAGCGCGCATGCCGTGTCCACCGACTTTCCCTCGGCGTGTTACATGAAACGCGTGTACTCCACATCTTCGCATCGAGTAACATTCTTCATGTAGTAATCCAACGATACTCACTGAATATTTTTACGTGTCTCTAAAATCGAAATTCCCGCGTGCTGTCGTGTGCATCGAGACGCGCGACAATTCAGAGTGAAATTCAGTAAACAGTGACTTCCCGTCGGAGTCGACTTGCTCCATGAGGTTCGTCGTAAAGCAGTCATAAATTCAACGAGTATCACGAACGGTGCTCAAGAGGAAATGTAACACCGTTGTCGTCGCATCTTCGAACGAGGGAGGCCTTTGATACCTTCACCCTACCGTCATGGTAATCATGGAAACGCACCAAATCTCGCTATCCAATAGTAGATACCGGAGAACAATGCTCTCAGCATCGCAGCGATAAAGGTCGATTCAATTATCGTACTGGAGGACCTTCGCTCGTTGCGCTTCGCATCTACTTTTGTGCTTCACAATCCGGTTTATTTCTTAGATCGGCCACGGACCGTCGTTGCGACCAAATAAATGGAGAATGCGTGCGCTCGCGACGATGGTGTCACTTTGATTAATCAACGTGAGAAATGCGCGCGCGTCGACGTTTCGTCGTTATTATGATTGAATGTTGGAATTTGTTGAGTGCTTCAAAATTGAAAATCACGACCTTTCAGCTAGATAGTCAATCATCCTACTGACGGATCCTTTGACCAAGTCAACGATTCGTTTCAAATGGCAATTCAATGATATAATTTCATTACCTAGTAGCGGAATTTACCTCCACAGAAGCTTCAAATTTGAAGCGTTTAAACATCTCGACATTTAATATTCAAAATTGGAGTTGTAACATGCAATGACTTCTCAGCAAACTTTAACTGGATCGGCTTGAAATTCATTAATTATTCGTTAAAATCCGCGCCCGTTGCTAAAATTACAACAGAGCTTCCGGCGTGCAGATAAACAGTGATTTCTACAACCTCAATCTTTTAAAAAGATTGTGAAGGTGTATCTAAGAAATGTGTAAGTCACAAAATGTATATGTATACAAGTTATAAATAAGTCACTTCGCGGAAGAGACTCTCCTCTGCTAAAGGATAAAGTTAAATCATTCCTCACGCGGACATCGAGAAGCAAAACAGCGCACTGAAGTAATTCCTCAATTGTCACAGCTCGCGGCGAGAAGCTTTTCAAACTGTTCGTCCTTACTGACTCGTTTAACTGGAAAAGTTTTCTTCTGTCTTCTAATCTTTAAACAACAGATTCCTAAATCGATAAATTCTGCATTAAATCGCAATATAAACAGACACACAAATTGAAGAGACGTTCTATTTTTTTATTGTTCGTAAAAAAATTCTTTTGTATTTTGCGCTGATTGGATCTTACTAGTTACGTATAGCAAACTTATTCAGTATATATTTCAGTTGTTGCAATCCTCGTGGAATTTTTACCCCCCATCGTTCACCTTCCAACATGTCCGACGAAAGCGGCGATAGCGATCGAACTAAAATTAAAAAGTTTCCTCAGGAAATTAATATCAACGCCGCGTCTTTGCCTCCGAATAAAAGCTGCGCTCATCGATCAGCAAAACGACGTACAAACTTTTTCGGAAGCCCGAAAGATCTCGATAACAGCGTCGTGGCACGAACGGCCAAGGGCATAGTCGATAATGCATTCTGATCCAAAACGAGCCACGACTTGGAATACTAACGATATCACAATTTTATAGGAATGTTGGTACTCCCTTTTTGCCACAAAGTGTAGCATTCATGATATTAATACTTTGAGATCGTGGCATAATTCCAATTCCATTAATAATCAACTAAGATGCCGAGAGCGTCGATACTTTACTTAGAAATAGAAACCTTAAACGATGTCAGCGATATTCTAAAATAAAAAGTAGAACAATATGGGGATAAATTCGAGGTTTTTCATTAGCAGCTTATTTTCATATTCAGATCGGTATGGAGATCCTTATGTTCAAGTCAACACGTTGCCTCGAAGATGGATTTCGTAACGGGGCAAACATCCCAGCTGCGCGCCTAAAGATGTATAAAACGCGAGATTCGCTCGTATTGTCGATTTACCGTATTACCGATTGCTTGTCAGTCTCGCGCGCATCGATATTAATGCGCAGCGAGCTTCTCTCCACCTGCCTGCGGCAGAGAGGACGCGAATTGCCTCCTTCGTTCGTCTCGGGCCGGTGCAAATTACCGAAGCTTTTTATCCTTTGAAGCGGCAGTCGCGCGGTGGTGTGTCCTGCCGCCTTTGCGATTAAATCAGACTCGCGGCCGTGCCTCCTCCAGCTTCTCCCTCTCGCTTTCCCCCAAAGCTGGCGCTTTCTCGCGGCCTCGCGCTCGCGCTCGAGCGGCGCGAGCTTGCGCGCCTCGTCCTGCACCCGGAGGTCTCCTCCGCGGAGGAGGACCATCAGGATCCCGATCAGTTTAGCGGCGTCTCTCAGTCTGTACGGTCGCGTCCGTAACTCGCGTCCGAACCACGCCGAATCACGTGCGTCCTCGCAGAAAGGGTGAGAGAAATAAAAGGGACGGGCGATGTCGGCCTTACCGTCGACCCTCGAACGTGTCACCGCGACGTCGACGTCGAACCGACCCCGAGATGTGTGAAAGTCCTCCAGGATTACTGCTGCAGGTTTGCGAATTTTCTTATTCAAACCGGCGAGATCGACGGTGCGTTGTGAGAAATAAATTTTAATTTCGGAGGAACTGTACGCAGTACTCGGGCGGAAATTAATGCGGCGGCAATTGCGGCGTGGAACATCCGGAAGAGCTAGATGCTGCTTAAGTTATTCGTCACTTGTGTTAAGTTTCGCACGCAGCGCCTTGCAACTTTCCGCTTTTATAGTTTCAATTGTGGCGTGGGCCGACGAATTTCGCGCACCTTCGCGTGTCGAGCAAATCTTCCCGGTACGTGTTGCCGGCTGGGAAATCTTAATTCGCCCGAGGTCTTTGCGTTTGTTTTTACATTGCTGATACGAGAATACAGAGAGAATTTCACGCCCCTAAGCGCAAGTTTCGCTTAAGTTTTTGATTCACGCCGCCGACTTCTGAATTTTAATCCGGATGCAGTTGTAGTGACGTTTACTCTTACAAAGAAAGAAAGTTGGTCTCAATGCAACGGTGCATTCCCCTTGGTCTTTGAGCGGCCCATAAAGTGCGCCAAAGTTTCACGCGACCCTCTCGCCACGCGGTATCGCGAATTTTCATTCGGATCAGTCGCGATGATATTTGATCTCTCGTCCGGCTAGGTGGTTACTACTTTTCGTGCGAGCGACGTGAAGAATTTCGGAGCGGTCTCTCGGGATTAACGTTGCTGCGGGTTCGCGAATTTTAATTCCGCTTGGTTGCACCGAGGTTTGCCCGTGCAATGAGAGAAAGTTGCCTTTGAAGCGATCGTGTGTTGGCGCATTTGCATATTCGAATCGTGCTAAAGCCCTCCGGAATCACCATTTCGCGTTCGCTAATTTTATTTGGTAGAAACTTGCTAATGCTGTTTCCGCTCCAATAAAAAATTTATGAATTCGCACGCTTGTACGGAGAGCGAACATGAATGCGAGTGTCTCTGAGAATTAATTCATTCCCAATGTATGAGTTTAATCGACACTCGTCTCAAAATAACGACTTACAATCAAAGAAAATCAATTTTTGCACGAGTATGCATCAAACGTCGCGTTTTCGAACAGTACTCGAGATGCAAAGGTCTCCTTGGATTCGTGTAATAGGTTTGCAAATTTTAAATTACATCGATCGCTATTCCTGAGAGAAAAAAGGAAGAAGCGAGAGAGTTATTCCGGAATTACGATGAGAAAGAGAGAGAGAGAGAAAGAGAGAGAGAGAGAGGAGAAAAGGGGGGAAGAAAGAGAAGAAGAGAGAGAGAAAGAAGCCTGTGTCGGTATATCTGGTAAAAAACGGTCACGGCTGGCAAGAGCTCGATATACTTAATTTGCGGCCGGAAACGTATATTACTTCGCGATGATTAATGCAAATCAAATGCGGCTATCAGCTCGTCGATATGAGAGAGGCAGATCCGTGGGCGCTTTTTATTAATCCGCGTCTCGCAATGCTTGCGGGGCGGAGCAGATCGGACTCGCGAGCAGTTCCCATAATATCGCTCGCATTGCGGCAAGAAACAAATTAATTTCGCCCGCGCGAGCACGCGGGAGAACCCGGCTAGTTGCCGTAAGTTTTTAATGAAAGCTTCGATTTTCAGCCGCTGTGGAAAAATCGCGGCAAACCGAAAATGCGCGACGTAGCTTTCCGCACGCCGATATTTTCGTATTCATTTATTTCGGAGCGAAACTCGCTTCGCGGTTGCAAAACTGGCGTCGCGGATCTTGCGCGACCTGCCACGACGAGCGCGATGCCAATTATAAAATGTGCAGTGGCCACTTTACCACTTGCGGTTGCTGCCGCTCCGAAACAATTTGCGCTTGCCCAAATTGCGCCGCGATTCTTCAAAAGTCGGAGGACGCCGATGCGCGAAAGAGGGAAAAAGCGGCAAGGCCACAGCCACGTGGTTCCTCGACCCCGCCGAAATGGACGATAAAAATCGCCGCGGGGATAATTGGATTGCCACTTGAACGGGACGGCTCGTCGTTGCCTCCTTTAATTGAGACATTGACGGTGCACACGCACCCCACGAGCTTCGCTCTGCGATTTTTATGCAAAACGCAATTCGAGCGAGCGCGCACTCGACCACGCGCCCTCGTAGCGCAAATAAAAAAGGCCAAATGCGAAAAGGAGCGATTTACATCCTGAGTCGGGTGAAGTGCGTCGTGCGCTGACTTAGTTAATAACAAATCGCGACAGATCCGACGTTCCGCCGCCGTCTACTCCGTCGTAGAACCGGCAATCGTATCCGATTTGCATAAATTGCCGTTACTACAAAGGCGGTGTATGTGTGTCGCGGAGGGAACAGTAAGTTCGCGTCGCGATAGCTCCTCCTCGTATTAACGACATTTAATCGCCGACGTCGGCCGGAAAAGCAAGCCGGGGCAATTACCGGCGATCTTTGTAGCGACGCGCGAGAGCGGCGCAGGACGATATTCTCAAATGAATATTCCGCAAATGTTCCGAGTGTACCGCAATCGATTTCGAGTCGTTCCGATTATTGAGGGGATCGGCAACCGATAAATCCGCGGAGATCACAGTCGCGAGACATTATGAGCGCGGTAAGGAATAAAAAGAAGAGGTAAAGAAAATGTCGCTCGCCACTAAGATAAAATGCCTGGACAATAATAACACTGCTACCAGAATCTAGAGATTCTTCTTGTTTTAGTCTTTAAATATGAATATTTCTATTTTCAACATAGAATATATGTAGAGGAGAGTTGCTCTGAAATCGTATCAATCTTCTAAATCGCGTCTTATTAATTGTATTTAATTTTTTTATGTTTATAGCGCACACAAAATAATATATAATCTAAAAACTCTTCTCACTTTTACCCCATTAAATATCGTTCATATTCAATAATGATAAAGAAATTGATGAAGTATGATTTAGGAAATTAGTATGACTTTGGCAATTCCCTCTATATATTCAATATATAGATATATGGCCGTCGTTACGCAAGATTGATCCCCACATGACGTACATTTCCCCACATGAAGTGTATTTCGAAAAAAAGGAAGATGAAAATATGATACATGATTTAAAAAGTGATTTAAAAAATGATTTAATAGCACTGAGGTTCTTCGTGATCGTTCAAGAAGTGAAGCATGTTCAGTTTTATTCTTTTTAAAGATGTTTTACTGACAGGCCTAATCCTTAAAAAAAATGGATAAGAAAAACGCAACTAATAAAAAATGGCACAACTAGCAAAAAATAAAAACTATTTTTTCATTAATTTTAGACGTCCATAAAGATTGGATCCTTTTTGTATGGACGTACAGATCATCTCTATTGGTAATAGAAAGACTCGACAATCATAATATATTTCGTGGATTGGATCATTTTATATTATTTGAAAGTTGAAATATTCGTATTTAAAGACCAAAAGAATATGAATGTTCAGAGATACCCAAATTATTAGCGTCCAGACATACTTTTCTATCTTATAATAATAAAAGAAAAGATCGCAGAAAATGGAATCCGACTTGGAAATCTGACGTTGCCCTGCGGGTTTCCTGAAATTTCTGAAAAATAATTTATTGCCTGCACGAGACACCGTCATACATCCGGCAGTGTCTGAATGACTGCCGCCGCACTCTCGAACGACTCGTACGACATTCTCGAGCGTCGACCACTTTCTTTGACGGCTGGAAATCAATTTTCAGCCGCTCGTGTTCGAATCGCTTGACATTTAATGGGCCGCATATTCGCGATCCTATCCATGAGAGATTAACTCGTCGCCGGAAGTGCATACATTAGCGACGAGCCGATCGCGGCAACGGCCTTTCATTCACACACACGCGCGTGCATACATTCACACAGACGCGCGCGCGCGCGCGAGTTCACTCGATCGCGAGATCGCGAGTCGTTGATAAAACCCGCGAACGTGAATTACGCGCCGCACAAGTAATCTCCGATTTATCCCGCCGTAATTCCATCCTTTTTTCTTACGGCTTAACACGCCTGCTTGATACTTTATCGCGCGTTCGATAGCGATAGATTATCGGCGAATTTATCCGGGGAACTCCGTGCACAATTTTATCAACTACAAAATATCGGCCGCGCGTGAGAACGCCGCGATTCGTGATTAATTTCATTACATTTTTCCCCCGTTGATGAAAGCTTGGCGAGACGACTTACTATTTATGCAATCTATTCACCAGGCAAAGAAACAAAATGAAGCGTGGAAATGATGCAGTATATTTCAGACACAACGTTTCAATCGATACGCTCCCCATACGTGTGTGCTTGTGATTATTTTTTGGAGGAGGAGGGCCTCGCTGTTAATGTAATTATCGCGAAATTGCAATAGCGTGATAAGTTTTAACGGATATTCTTTATCACGTCAGGATGATCCCCGGAACTGAAATGCGCAAATATTTGGACAGGTAGAAACTAAGTTCTTCTACGGCTATTCCACCCGGGTACTTGATGTAACGCGCATAATGGTGTTTCTTCAGTATACATAGTTATCAGCTGACTACGAAGTTCGCCGGAAAAATCTACGGTCAAGTCGACCGGGTCAATCAACCCCCAACTGTTACGCTTAGATTTGGATAACCCGTGCAATCTCGAGTACCAGAAATACCCGCAGACTTTCTTGCGATCAGAGAAGCCAAGAGAGATACAGGACGACCGTCGCGACTAATGTTAACGCCGTTTCGCTCAACAATCCAATTGACCTTGAAGCAGCCGGATGAAAATAGCCGCGATAATGCCGGAACATTTCCCGTAACGTAATCCGCGGGAACAGCATTCTACCATTTCTGGGATTACGGTAATGGAACGTATTTATTTCCTCGCCGCACGCCGCACAACTTCATTTTTAATCATATCTGAAACCAGGGAACCAACACACAAACATGCACACACATATATGGATATAATAAATACAACACTCCGTGCGGCCACGCGGAGTTGCGTTTTCTTCATATTTTCGCGGAGCAACCACGCGGAGTCGCGAGAAATTGTTTCCGAGAGAGACCCTGTTTCTTTCGCGCGACGAAACGAGCGACGAGGCA